ATAACAAGAATGTAGAAGTGAATATTCAAAAAGTTAATTTTTTTCATATCACCATGTTCAAAAGGTATAAATTATGTTTAAGGCTACTTTTGAGAAGAATTCTAAACTTTTTTATCTTTTCAAATATTTTTCTCTGGAAAGATTTCTGGTTTTCAAATTCTTTTTTTCCGTTTAAAGCGAAATTCTCCCTTGGCCTGTTAAAAATGTTTGCCTTTGGGGGTTTTTTGGGTTTAAAAAATGGTTTTATTATGCCGTCCTTTTTGGTCTCCCCTATTATCCCAAATATTTAATAAATGTTATTATTTAAATTGATTAACAGTATACACATCATTTTTTGGTAATAATTATTTATTATCAATTCAGCTGCACCTATCACCGGTGAACATCTTGATTTTAATCACCCATAGCATCAGTTTTATCTCTTATCGACATAATTCATCATACATTATATAAAGAGAATTCTCGCAAAAACATCACACCCTCTTTTTAAAAAGTTAATAAATTTCAAAATTTGGAAAATTGGAAAGGGAAAAATAAAAGGGGGATTATACTGTAAAAATAATGATGATGTTGGGTGAAAATTGATGGTTTTTTATTTTTGATGGCCCACCGATTTTGGTTAAACAGTTCTCAAAAAATGCTATACAAAAATAAATTTTTTGGGGGACAAAATTTGTTTTAAATAACTTTGATTTCTGGAAAATTTTTTTTCGAAAGGAAACATTAAAAGGGTTTTCAAAAAAACCCAAAGTTTTCTTGGAGTTTATTTGGGGTTTTTACGTAAACGAATAAAAAATCATATGTCTCCGGGGAAACATACTTTACAGGCCCCCAAAAAAAGCTCTCCCGGGGAGTATATTGGGGTTAAAAGCTTAACAAAAGAAAACTATTGGGATGAAAAGGGGCCCTGGGGGAAAAATTTATTGGGGGTTGATTCCCCCTTTTGATTCCGGTTTTTCAATACCCGGAAAATTATTTTCGTTACATTCAACAAATTTTAAAAATTTAACTTTTGCAAATTTTTACGTTTCAAATTTACACTTTTGAACTTAAAAGAAATTTAGATTTCATTTTTTGTTGCGGTTTTTAAATTCACGAATTTTCGTTTTTAACTTTGTGAATTTTAAAAATTTAATTTTAAAATTTAAAAACCCAAATTGAAAACGTGAAAACCAAAATTTTAAAAGTGGTTACAAAATTTAAAAAACCCTTAAGTTTTAAAAATAAATTCATTTATGTTTTAAAAACTGAAATTGAAACGGGGGAATTCTTGAATTATTAATTTAAAACCCCAGAATTTTTGTTTGTTCAAATTGGGGATTTTTTTTTGGGTTAAATTGGGAAATTATTTAAGTTGAAAATTTTTTTTGTGTTTAACCCGGAAAATTAAGTCCCCCCTTTTTAAAATTTTTGAAAAGCCCTTTAACCATTCTACCCCTAAATAAAGGGTTTCGGAGACTATTTTTAGTCGAGAGCGTTTTCAGCGTTACAATTTATATTGAATTTTTAAAGGTGTCAAATTTTTTTTATTTTAGTTTTCTAAATGATGGAGACTTAAAAAAAAAAAAATAAAAAAAAGAATTCCCTTTCCCTATGTTTGTAGTCGAACGTGGACCAAAAAAAAGTTAAAATAAATTAAAAGTTTCAATTTTTTTTTTATTAGTCTTTTATAATGGATATTTGGTTTTAAAAAAATTCACAAAATTACCCCCGTTTAAACCCCCAGCGATGACCTCCCCAGGAATTTTATTATGAATCCCGAGAAAATTGGGTCCCTTGTGGAAATTTTTCCAGTAATGTTTTGTGGCAAGTGTATGAATTTTAGAATCGTTAAATTTTTTTTTAAAGTCCTAAGATGAAAGTTTTTAAAAAAAAGTTTATACCGGTACCCCTTTTTATAAACGAAATTAAGGCAGGGGATCGCTGAAACATGGCCAGCGATTGGCTGAAAAAAGTGCAAGGAAAACTGTATGATTCAATTTATAGTTTTATACAAGAGGTGATGAAAATGGGGTATTTTTAAGAATAAAACCTAATTTAAAAAGTAACACTACATTGTTTTCTGAAGAAAATGAAATATTTCATGAGTCTCAATGATCATTTTGACTTGGATATTTGCATTTATAAAAAGTGTATGTCAGTCCTGTGATCCACAGAAAATTTCAATGAAATGGGGGGTAATCCTCTTTAAAGTCATTTTGCAAAATAATTGGTTGGCTACCCCTATATAACAGGAACATTTTTATGTGTCAGGCATTTCATTCTGCTAGAAAAATTACCTCTTTAGCTTGAAAACTCAATTTTTAGGTAGGTTTAGGGACCATTTCTTATAATGTTAGTCTATGGAAATATCAATGTGAGTGTCTGACCTTAAGGTATGAGTATCCTTATTTATTACCTCCGCTATGAAGAGTATTCAAATAAGCTATAATAACTGTTAACTGCATTGAAACTAAGGGCCGTGAGTTCAAACCCCAGAAGGGTCGGCAATTTTCTGTCTTTCTTTTTTTCCTTTTTTTTCTTTTAGCATTATTAATGTATCTCTCATATCCCTTTTAGAAAGAAAAAAGTGAGTGTTTAATTATATAATCAATATAGGTATTTATTGGCTAAATAATGCTAAATCTAACTTGATATTTCCAAAGTCTAATAAAATCAAAACTACACGGAAAAACGTTTTTGTTAATTTTCCAGATCAACCAATATACTTTCGAAACAAAATAGGGAAACTTAAGTAACAGTCCCTAATTTGGTATTTTTAAGAGAATATTTTAATTAGGCTCTCTAAGTAGGAAAATGGTTGAACACGTGCTAAAAATGGGTGGGGTAGGGTAACATTTTTATTCATATTTCATAAATTTTGAGTAGAAACAATCATTTTCCTTGTGTGGATGAAACTAAAATTTATTAATGTTTTTTAAAAAATTTTTTCATGAGGGGGTTTGGATATTTGTAAAATTATTTAAAAGTTCATCATTCTGAAAAAGACCTTTTTAAATTCAGACAATGGGCCAAACTCGTTAAATATAGGTAAATTTTAAATTTTTCATACAATATCGTTTTAAGGGAATACTGCCTCCTTTCAAAATTTTTTTTAGTCCTAATTAGAAGCACAAGTATCTGGTTTATATCCAACGAAGCCCAAACTAAATTTTGTCAGTTGTAAAAAAAGTAAGGGGGCTATATTTTAAAAAAACCTTTCTAAGCGATGAGAGAGACAGGACTTTTCCGGAGAGAATTAAATGATTTTGGGGATATGCATGCCCAAAAATACGTTTAGTTATATTTTTTAAAAAAAAAACCAAATTTCCTCTGAACAAAAAGAGGCTATTTTCACTTTTAAGAGAACTCTCCGAAACTTTTATTCTCGTATGCCAAAACACGGTTTTAAGCTCGTCAAAGATAAATTCCCTATTAAAATAGAATTCTGGCAAAAATACGCGGATGGCATACCCCCTCTTTTTTTTAATTTTTTGTCGTCGGGAAACTACATGTGTATTTAATTTCCCTACGGTAAAGGTTTTGGGGGAGGGTGTTTTGGTAGAAATTTTTAAAACTGTTAAATGTACTGTCACGAACAGCGCAAACTTCCGCTTTAATGAGCCGGGACTAGCACCAAGTATTGTTAACATTAGAGGTAAATAAATAAGTCCGACCCATTTTTTAACTTTGACTTGATTTCAAATGGGTCCTTTTCAGCCTTTGTCTTACTTGTTTATTTGTTTTTTAAGGGCGCATAGCAAAACTTACCTGTGCATGTTCTTATTATACTAGTGATGTACTTGAACTTCCAGTTTTCTCTGATTCTAACAAGGGATGCATTTCGTTCGGTACAAAAAATGCTTGCATTTTGGTGTCTCATCTCTGTGCTGAAAAACTGAAATCCTCTGATCACTTCTCCATCTTTAGGGCATTCTGTAAGTAAAACAATATGTATTTTAGTGATACACATTTTAGTATGTATCAATATTTACCACAATGAATGTTAGTCAGCAGTTTATATTAAACAGTATATATTCTTCAGGATAGCAACTTAATATTTTGGGAATTCGGCTAATAGGCGGATTTATGTTTATACATAAACTATACATGTAATTCATGGGGTCACAGATTAGTTTTCCTGCTCCTCTATTATCAATACTATGTTAAAAATCGGTGTCCAATGTGTCGGTGCTGTACATAGTATATGTAAAATGAACCAGGATCACCTACGGAACAGGGCAACTGCTGTTACACTCACTACCCTGAAAGAAAAAACTAACTCTTCTTGCAACCGCACGCCACATTTAATAAGTTTAAAAACATATGATATACCTGCCCGATAAACCAGAAAAAAACTTTATTTAAGTGTTAATAGTAAGCATTTACAAAATTAAATTGGTCAAAAATGTCGATTTACTAAAATGATTAAATTAAGCTGATTTACCAAAGTAAATATGCTATGATTCATTTGAAATACTGCATTTCTGTTGGACAGTTTTGATTTTATTAGACTTTGGAAATATCAAGTTAGATTTAGCATTATTTAGCCAATAAATACCTATATTGATTATATAATTAAACACTCACTTTTTACTTTCCAAAAGGGATATGAGAGATACATTTATAATGCTAAAAGAAAAAAGAAAAAAGGAAAAAAAGAAAGAAAGAAAATTTATATTATAATATAAACCACCGAAAAGCATGTAATAATAGTATTAAAACGGATATTGTCACTGTTGGCTTTCTTAATTGTCGTGGTTCTTTTAATGGTTTTTATTTACGAGATTCGTAGATTGTTGAAACTTCCTTGCAAGACGTGTAAAAATTCACTTCTATACTTATTCGTCTTTTTTATTTCCCATCTGTGCACAAATATTTATTTGTCTTTTTTCCCATCTGCGAAAGACATTCAAAAATATCCGTCATGTTACCTGGACAAGCGGAAATAATTACAGGAGCCAAATAATAACATGGGTCATGAAAACGTAAACTTTAATATTTTAACACCATTTCGACGATCACACATGTTCTAAAATAAAACTTTGAACAGTGCCTTTACATTGTGGGACAAAAATCCAATGACCAAACTGTGAACACGTAGCATATCGTTCCAAATTTTTATTTTTTACCTCGAAAAACCCGTCATGACATTTCACCGACTTATTTGCATTAACTTCATTCATATTTCCACGGAAGGTAACGTTAAGGAAGTGTTGTTCAGGCGGGCATTCTGTACAACAAAACAAGAAAGATATATGAAAACTGGGTGTGTTTGGCTTTCCAATACAACCAAATCAATGTCATAATAAAAACAGCTCAACTCACCAACGGTTATTACTTAATACCCAACCTGCTGGACCCGAAAGTGTTTAGACTTTGCCACAAGTATAGAGCCAGGCCTGTCTGAAAATGCGTCTGACTAGACTCTGTACCACGATATGGGACAATACACTTGATATTTTTGTGTTTTGAGTCAAAACAAATCGGATGAAATTAGATCTACCAGGAGAAAGAAAAAATCGATTTCACAACTGATATGACATGGGTTTGATTTCATATTTCGCTTGATATATGCCAGATATGAAATATTAATAAGTATCAGGAAAAAAGATTTGACGAACTATTTGTAAAGAACAAAATCACCGTTTATACTATTAGCAGCACAGTTTGTGACATTGTAAAATCTATACTCAAAGCCGTGAGTGACAAACGAGCCATATAGTTAGTTTTTCTCAATATTAATAATAATCATATCGAACTTATCCATTTGAATTACGAGAACACTATGTAATCATTAACAATTTATTAGTTTGTTTCTATACAGATACGCTGAACGAATTCTTGATTGATTAAATACCGTTATTTCAATTGAGAACGAATAATCCGGCATTTACCATAAAAACATGTAACCAATCCAACTTTTCGGCAATTTTGCAATCATTGTTGTTAACAATTCGCAAAAGGAACATATTTCCTAAGTATAAAGACGTTTTCCAATTATTATTCATGCAATTACTCAACCTAACCATTTTAATTAGCTATACTCAGAAAAAAATAAATTATTTAACTACTTTCAATAATCAGAAATGAAGAACGGCAAAAACAATACAGAATTTGACATTTGCATTGCTATTTCACATTTCGATACATTTCATATTAAAAGTCCTGGTCCAATAAAACGTTAATGAAAGATCATTCTACATAAAAATAGTTTTATACACAGATTTTGAAACGACTATGTAGCTTGTTTATTATTTCTTCCCTAAATAATCTTTAATAATATCAATTTTACAAACAAAATGAAGTTTACTTGCTATTTACTTGTAAAATTGAACAAAATGTTAATTATAGTCAGATTTTAATGTTAATTTATTTTTATTCTTACTATAATTATCTGAGAGTTTTAGAACAGCCCAGATATGAAAAAGTAAAATGTTACATACATTTTTTCGATGTTGGTTATGACTGAAAACAACAATTGAAAGTTCCAATTTTTAACCAATACTTGATCAAAACTGAAATATCATTCAAGATATTATAGAGACTTAAAAAGTGAAAATTGAAAATTTTAAATTTAACTTTATTTATTCAGTGGTTATCTGTTTTTATAAATGATTTTTATTTTGTTCATTCATATGCAATTCAAGCTGATCAATTTGAATATTGTTATATTACGTTTGGCTCATGAGTCCATATAATGGCTGTTTTGTAGTGTTTTACACTATGTATGTATGTATGTATGCGTGAATACCAGGACAAAAATTAATCATACATTTTGCATTTTTTTACATACTTTATTGAATTTTAAATAATTTCCTAAGAATATTGAACATCTAACTTACACTATGGTGGTAAGAATGCCTAAATTCTGTAAGAAAAATTGTCCACAGATTTCGACACCACTTAAATTGAAAATGTTTTTACAAAATATCTAAACGGTAAAACATTCCCATATTTAAATAACATGTGGTGGATAGTATTCTTATAAAATTGACATATTCAAAAGCGATGCCCCGACAATATGTTTGAGCAAAATTGTCGAGTTTTATGTCCGTTGCATAGCAACTTTAGCTAAATTTTAACAGTTTCATGAAAAAAATGAAAAACACTAATTTTGAATTCTCATGGAATAATATTATATCTATAACTGTTGCTGTTATTCTTCAATGTCTTTTTTATATCAAATATGACTATTTAGATGCATATTCAAGATCACTTTTTTTTTCGATTTACCTTAAGTGAGTGGGGTTGACACACACTCTTTTCTGAAAACCGAAATGTGTCATTAAAATAATTAATACATGTTATTCAGAGCTTTATATACTTGAAGATCGGTGTAAAAATACATTTTTGAAATGAAATATTTTTAATATTTTGTATTTTCTTAAGGGAATATTTTTAATTTTTTGTTTTAATTTTATGATCGTTTTTCATTGGAATGTCTAGAATAATTTTGCAAATTCAAGTTTGTATTTTGTATATTCGGCATATATTTTTTCGTTTTCCCCATACATTACAACAATAATAAAAAGGAAGAAGGTATGCATTATGAAAAAATGCGAGATTCCTTATTTAAAAAGTACTTTATTCGCCTAAATAAATTAACTTTAGAATTAAATTTTTTACACACCTCATTCGCTTAACAATGTCAATTGAGTGTATTTACAACATAAACAGCAAATTTTGTGATAACACATTGTCAAGAGTTGAGTCGTTAAGTTTGTGTTATTGCAATCTTTAGCATTTTTACTACCCTCTAGCATACATTTAGACACTTTCGGGTGCAAAAGCATGTTATTTATTTTACACCACTTAATAATCATATTAAGACTATATTGTAGTTTTTCTTCTATATCTGATTTATGCAATGTCGAATCATCAGCATATAATATATATTGTAGGCAAAATAGAAATAGGTCTATAGTTGCTCAGATTATCTTTCAATCCAGATTTGAAAATCGGAATTACTCGCGCATTTTTAAATTTCATCGGGTAATACCGGTATTTCTTATCTAATACTATTATTTTTCATACTGGCACTCAATTTGAGTTACAAAGGCACCGCACGATCTTATTATTTTTGGACTTAGTTAATCCAGTCGAGTGGTATCTAGTTTATCAATAATGTTTTTAATAACAAATGCAGAAATGTTTTAAATTTTGAATTATTTTCATTTCAATTTATTATCTAACTTATCCTTTAATATTTTAAATTCGTCATTAGATAACTGTACTTTTTTCTACAATATAAGAAATACTTGACAAAAATTTGTTCAAATCATTTATATTATTAGCATGATCATCAAATTTAGTGTCTCAAAAAGTGAGCCTTTCAGGAATATGTACAATTTCCTTTCTACCAAAGTTAGTTAAATCATTTATATTTTGCCAAATGTAATTGTATCTTCACTTTCATTTATTGCATTATTGAAGAAATTCTTTTTTCTTTTCTTTATCTCTGAGTTAATTTATTTCGTAATAATTTATATTCATCGAAATCTCAATTTTTGTGATATTTATCTCTTAAAAACGTCATTGCTTTCATTTCTTCAGTTAACAATTTAGACTGCGTATCAAATTTCACTCTCTTTTCTTTTATTGGAGAATATTTGGAAAAAATAACTTTGACTATTGAACAAATGATTTGAAAAGCTTAATTTGGATCAATAATATGCTCCACAGATTCTTGAGAAGATGGAGCTAAATCAGTCTGAAAAGATTGTTGATTAGATGTTTTAAATGATCTGTTCTTCATTGCCTTATGAAAACCAAGTTTCATTCGTGTCTTTACTGTTCTAATGAAACAGACAAGGAAGTGATCACTTATTGATAAATTTGATGCAAATATATTTCAGACCCGTATAAGGCTATTTACAATGCCATAAATATGATCAATGAGTGTTGCACTAGTTTAAGTTGTTCTTGTTGGAGTTTGAATGAATTGCCTTTGACCAAATTTTGATATTTAATTAGACAAATTTGTATTATTGAACTTATATCTGAGTTTATCAGGCATAAAGTTGATATTTACGTCGCCTAAAAAATAGTACTCAGAATATTTAGAATCAATTTCATCCAGTTGCTGTCCGTATTCAACAACCCATGATTGGCGTTCTTTTGGTGGGCGGTATGCACAGTTTACTAGAAAAGTTTTGTATGAAGGTAGTTTATCACTATCCAAGGAGATTCGAAATTTCCATTTTCTATGTTATAACGACGTTTTAGGGCACTTTCTCATTTATGAAATTTATAAATCCGCCTCTTTCACTTTCATTTCTATCCTTTCTTTTAAAACAAAGCTTTCTAACTTCAATTCATTATTTGAAACATTTTTATTTATTATATTTCACAAATACTTAAGATATCTGGTTTGTTCGTTTTCCCTAGATTATATCTGTTTTCATCATTTGTGCATCAAATGTTGTATATTGACCAATGCAAAACGCAAGCCCTTAGATGTTGACATTGTTTTGATTTGTAATATTGTGTTTTTTTTTCGGAAGACATATTAAAAGTAGAAAGCTTTATCTTGCTCATGTTATATTCTAAACTAAAAAAAATCAAAATGTGATGTAGAGATAGGAGATTACAACAAGAGTTTTAACTATAAAAATCATTCTATGACAATTCAAAATTAGTGCTTTTCACATTTAGATCAATCAAAAAATTGTTAAAATTTAGCTAAAGTTGTTCTGCACATACATAAACACATTACAATTATTACGGCATCACTTTTGGATATTTAAATTTTATAACAATACCATCCTCTACATTTTGTTTAAATATTAAAATGTTTTACCGTCTAGAGATTTGGTAAAATATTTTCAATCCATGTGGTGTCCAAATCTGTGGACTATTTTAATTACATAATTTAAGCACTTTCACCCCAGAAACAGATTACCAGTCCACTGAATTAATAAAGTTGTTAATTAAAAAAAAAACACTTGATAAGTCTCTATGATAGATCTATCTTGAATGAAATGAAATTTTGACCAAATATTGGTTAAAAATTGATATTTTCAATTATTGTTTTCAGTCATAAACAACACCAAAATACATGTTTTTAATTTTACTTTTTCAAGTTTGGACATCCAAAACTTTCAGAATGTTATAGTTAGAATAAAAATACATTAACATGCACAAACCTATGAAAATCTGACTAAAATTATCTAAATGGAAATTTTGTTCAATTTTTACGGCAAGTAAAAAGCAAGTAAACTACATTTTGTCTGCAAAATTGATATCATTTTAGATTTAGGGAAGAAACAATAAACAAGCTACATAGTCATTACAGAATCTGTATATAAAACTATATTTCATGTAGGACCCTCTTATATCAACGTTTCATTTGACCGGGACTATTATATATTTAAATGTTACAAAATGTGAAATAGCACTGCAAATGTCAAATCCTGTATTGTTATTGTCGTTCTTTACATCTGTTACTTGAAAGTAGTTAAATAATTTATTTTTGTCTGAGTATAGCTAATTAGAAAATGGTTAGGTTGGGTTATTGCATGAATAGATAATTAGAAAACGTCTTTATACTAAGGAAATGTGTTCCTTTGGGGTTTGAGAACGACAATGATTGCAAATTGCAGAAAAGTTGGATTCGGTTACATATATTCACAATGAAATATAGTACAAATGGGTCATTAAAAAAACAGCAGCCTTCCTCACAAAGTCAACGTGTATCATACAGTTAAATTATTCTAATTGAACAAAATTAACCGATGGTCTTTGATAGTCATAGCTATATGGAAATACATCCGGTTTGATCGAAAATTTAAATACGTATGGTTTTACTGAAATATGCCATAGTTATTTGAAAAAAAACACAAAGGTATACAAGTGGGTTACATGTCATTGAAATCTTGACCAAGTAAAAAAAGGCAAAATGAAATCGTTACCTTTTTGGACGCACTGTCCTGTTTCCTCTTCGCATACACTGGTGTCATTGCAGTTGCACTGTCGTTTTTTTATTTTTGAAGAAGATAAACATTTAAAGTGAATAAATACACTTAAATACCCGCATTTCTTTATTTGACAGAAACACACTTAAATACCCGTATTTCTTTATTTGACAGAAACGCACTTTAATACCCGTATTTCTTTATTTGACAGAAATACAATAAATACCGGTATTCCTTTATTTGACAGAAATATACTTAAATACCAAGAACTTTATAAAGATGTAACGAACAAAGTCCGCTGAAATTCTCTACAGTACGGATATAAGTACTATGCGGAAAAAATTACATGCCATTTCAGAACATTTTTACTTTGTGCGTTAACACTTTTGTCGCTGTGAATATGTAATACATTTTCTGATTTCAAAATTTATTCCTTTTAAACATTTATGAGAAAGACGCATTTAAGAGAATGACAATCATATCATCATATGTTTTAAGTTGGATTAATATATTTTATAGAAAATTATTTAGAAAATAAGCTTTTTAGATTCATTAATGTTTTATTAATTACGAAAAGATCTCACCAAAGTGGGTCGTTCATCCATGTCATTCCGTAATACCATCACACAGTGTTTGTCTGTAACCGCTGGAGAAATTTCGTGCGCGTAAAGCTCGCACAGTCGAAACAAACGCTTAAACCCTATAGCCTTACAGCTCGTTCTTCGCGTGCACTCATCGACGCACTGTTCCAGAGAATGATCAACTATCGTAAGAAACTTTGAATTCTGTGCCGGGCACGTGTGAAACTTACTTATACGAAAAGAATATTTACATAAAACACTCATTTTAGACAAAACATACATGGTACAACATATAACTAGTAGAAAATGATAATGTTTATTCTGATTTATCATATCTGCCTATGTTGAACTCATGTCACATGTAACAAGCGCGTTCCTTATTGTGATTCACTAGTTCAATTGACTGTATCCCACCGTCCTCATGTAACTTATTAGTTATATTTACAACTGAATATAGCTTTTATAATTGACACGTTCGTGTGTCAGATAATTCTTTTTCCAATCTTGCATGCATATTTAAATTGGTGTTAGATGAAGCAAAAACGTCCGCTGACTATGACTTATCAAATATTCAAACCTTATTTTATGAATTGATGTATTAAATCATTGTGATCATTAAAAGTCAAAGTTAAATGCGATATATGTAAAACATGAACTTAAAATCCAATGTTTGAAGGCCATAGTTTGAAAATTTAAAGTTAGGGTAGTACATGTATATGCAACAAAACCTACCTTGGATGGGGCCATAATTGACCCTTATGTATGATTTACATTAGTAAGGCTATATACCAAAAATCTAAGCTATGTCAAATTGTTTCACAAAAGAAGATAGAAGTGTGTTTTAGATTTATACTGAGTTTATTTCAAGTTCGATTGTGCTTATAAACACACTTTCGACTTTTAAAATGTGTATTTTAGTCTATATAGACTAAGTGACCTCATAATGAGGCAACTTTATTTATCTTATTTATTTATTTTTGGTTGGTTTTACGTCGCACCAACACTGTATAGGTCATATGGTTACTTTCAAGCATTACTGGTGGAGGGAGACCCCATGAGCAAACGGGAACCTGAGTAGAACCATCGACGTTCTGTTAAATAACTGGATGGCTTTCACACATGAAAGAATCCGAAGACGCTTGTGGGGCTCTAACTTACAGCGGTTAGAGGCACATGGTTTGAAGTCAACGACCTGAACCATGGCTACGGACGCCCTAGGGGCTACTTTAATCCTATGGAAATACTTCTATACTTTTGTAGAGTTTCACTAGGAAATGCTTCATCCCAATTGTCTAAGCGCTAAACCTTGGAGGGACTAATGAGACGATTTTAAAGGGATTCCACTGAGTATTTGTGTTATGATCCAACTGGATTAATATCCAAAATTTATGAATCATTTGATGTAAGTCTGAATCAAGGTCAGAAATAAGAAATTGTGATCAGTCTTGCAGATCATAATCTTGCCCCATTTTCCCAAAAACATAAATTTTTATTTTGCAAAAACCGGCATCGAGCACATTTATAACAAAATATATGTATGTAACAAATGTGTTTTATTTCCATTACACATGTGAAACATCCATGCCTTGCAAGTAAAATTTTAAGAATATGACTACGGCTAACAGAAAACACCGGAATATCTAGCTCGAGAGTGCTAACGAGGCTCTACATAGTTTCCATTAAACAGTTACCCTAGAGATAGATATTTCTTCTGTGGCAACAGCCAGTGTCTGATTTTTTTTTATTTTCTTATTTTTTTAAAAACAAAATCCATATTTCAGTATTGTATGAATTTACAGCGCTTCATTTATAACGGAAAAATGACGTCATCATCAGCTGGCAATTCGATGACGCAAAAAGTCCTTTTTAGAATCAGTATATAAACGGTAGATTATCATCTTGTCTGATACTCAAGAAACAAGGGTCTGCTCTAAACAAATTCAAACAACTAGATCATGAATAACGGTAAAGGACAATGAAAGATAAGTCAATGGAGTTCTTTTAAATTAATTTCATTAAATACTTTATTAAATATATTTTACTTATGTCCAAAACCCCTTATTTTAGATGATCAAATGCTTAATTTCTCGCAGAAAAAAAGGAATTTAAAATCACAGTGGGTGTCGTCAAATAGACCATTAACTATTCTGAAACAATGATGTGTTTCAGGAGAATTAGGGGCGTGGCTCGCCCAATAATATTTGTCCATAGGAACTACTTTGCCATCATGGAAACGCCAAGCATCCGGTGCGTAATAATCGACAGCATTCGCGTTCGTTCCATCCAGCCAGAACTGTTGATCTGCTAATCCTGGGATAAAGAAACGCAGAATTAGAATCATTCAGGTAAATTTATTAGCCCTTTTCGATAAACAATGGAATTTATACCCCGTTTCTTTTACGAAAATTGACAAAGTATACCTAACACACGTTTTTTCATGCAAATATAAACTGATTATTATTGCCGTGTCGCAAAAGATACAGTTCGTTAATTTGCAATCATATCAAACCTGTGCGTTTTATGGCACTAATTTCAAAATCAATGATTATATCATTACTTTCAACTTAAGTTATCAATTATCAATGTTAAGTAATTACCTCGTCTAAATTGCACATTTAACACAGCAGGAGTCTACAATTATGCTATTATCTATTTCTAAATGTTACGAATGATAGAAATGTTCAAACACCGCTTTTGAATAAAATCGATAAGAAAATTGTTTTTCTACCATGGTTTTTACGGAAGCGTATAAGTACCACGCTAACACTTACTTTTTGACACTTTAATCTGTAAATTTTAAACTTAAACGATAAAATGTTAATGCTGTGCATATGTCATGTAATAGATTTTATCATACATCCGCCGGAAAGCGCTGTTTACTGCTTTTTTGTCACGTTGTATACCGGAAGTCTGTCGAGTTTTCAAGTCGTTTAACTCTAAGTCATATATCTAATTTCTGTATGACACGGAAAATTATGAAATGTAACGAATTATCATGAATTATGCCGCTATTTCTCTTAATCTGCCGAAAATTGGATAGTGGTTTTGGTACATTCACTGCTGACAAACTGACAATTATGGACTGAGCAACAGTATTCAAGTCAAATTATGGCGAAAAGTAACGAACTACTCCGTATGTTTCAAACCGACTTCCTCCACTACAATAAAACTGTTGCACGAACAAGTAAATTTTATTACTTCTGATATATCTCAATTATAAAATAAATGTTCTTAAAAGCGATGAAAAAAGGTAAAAAAGGTAATACATGTATATTCTTAATTACTGACGGTTATCTACGTTTTTGTACTATAATGCCCGATGTTTTTATCCAAAGTACCGGGCAGTTACGTTGTCTACGACTGAAAATAAGAATTCAGGCTTATCCACCAGCGATGAATTAATGAAATAAGTTAAGCGGCAAATGTTTGAATTATTTATAAATTTGTGCTTTAACATTTTTTATAAATTTATATTCTGTTAAATTATTCAAACCTGGACAATCCTGAAGAAGCTCAACAATAAAGTCCATTTTCCATTTCTCGTCTACTTTGAAGAGGTGTCCATCGATCGACTCGCAGAACGCCGAAGCCTCGGAATGAGTAACAATTTCCTGTAGCTGAACATTTATTCTAGAACATTCTTTGGGTAAATCTATCCAATCTGAGTCAGCAGACGGACACACTGTGGTAGTCAACGAAAAAAATGTTATCTCCTTTGTAGAAGAGGAATAAAATAATTTGAATTTAACATTTCTTTTCGTTTCAAACTGGAAATGAAAGCTACGGCCATATACTTCTATCGGTTATCTGCAAGAAATAACTTTACAATTCGATTATTCTCTCAGATCTTTTATTAGGTTTACTTCAGAAATTGCTTAACTTTGGACAGAAGAGCATTAAAACTATTTGTATCTAATTTTGTCGAAATGTATAAGGAATAGTTTTAACTTTGCACATCAAATGTAGATATTTATAGAATCTATGTTAATTATTTAAGAATGTTTTCGAACCTATTATAAAATGCTTACCTTTGCGCTTATAAAATACAGAACCAGTCATGACGTTTTCAGTTGTATTGACATTGCACTGCGAGCGGCACGCAACGCATGTCAGCGTGTCCCGCTGGTAAAATATACCACTGCACGTAGGGAAGACGGAACACACCCTAGCGCAGTCTAAAACACTAGCCGATTTTGTTGACTCGAAAATTTCGTTTCCTTCATGACATCTATATCCATTTAGTTGTTCAAACCTTTCCAATTTATCACTTATAATTATAGCATTTATTAGGAAAAAAGGTACAAGACAAATCTTAATCAAGGACAACATTGCCATCATGAAATCAATCTGGCGACTAGTGACATAGGAATTGATCTTCAATGTGAAGGGACATGAACGCAACACACCTGATTATTGTCTAAACAATTATAGTTATCTTGAAGACTCAGTGTAAGGTTTGTTGTTATTTACGCCTTCTAAATCATAAAGAGCTGACAATTCTGATGAAAAGTAAAACAGACGATTCATATTTAATGTTTTTAAAAGCAATACTAAATATTAAAATATTTGCCTAGTGGACAAAATGTGATTTTATTACTGATGGGGATTTTTGTGACATAAATGGTTGACTATGATAGGGAAAACAATTGTTGTTAGTTGCAAGTTTTCGTTTTATTTAAATATGAATACTATAACAAGCTGGGCCTCTATTGCCAGGAAACGCTGATCAAAAGTAGCTACTTCATTTCAAAATTATAAAAAACACATATAGATAATCTTTTTTTATTTCTTTAAGTATGTCAATTTATAAGCAAGCTCTAATAATGAACGGAATTGCAATCAAGCAAAATAAGCTTTTGTTTATATAAAAAGAGTGTAGCTGTGAATTGTCAAAACTGACTTATGCTGCATCTGTTGAAATGTCAGAACTGTAAGTGAAATGATTTTTTTAGAATGTTTATTTTTATGAAAAAGATGTGAAAATGTTTTTTTTTAAATCATCTGTTTTTTTCTATTTGGTTGAGCATTGGACGGCAGTAGTAACTGAAAGTTACTGTTCTCGAACATAAAATCCCTAAGTGCAAAATTAAAAATGTTGCAGGCTTGGTTTGATAGAGTCTGTTCATGGACTGATCATATTATCGTACTATAATATCATTTAGAAATTATTTCTCAAAATTCAAAATTTGATTTTGGCAACCGATGTCCGTAACTCCGATATGTATGATGTATGGCAGAGCTTTTAAATTGCTCGGTATAAATTTTCATGTAGATTTAGAAAAAAATGGTAGATATTAATGTCACAGAAAAATTTAAGAAAATAGAAAATTGCATAAAGTATTGGAATCGGAGGGAGTTAACTTCTATAGGTAGAATTATAGTTGTTAAGTCTATTATATGACCACTTCTAACACGGTTGTTTATGTCTCTTCCAAACCAGAGTACACAAATACTCAAAGATATTAATAAAATGTTTTATGAATTTGTTTGGGGTGGCCCATCTAAAATTAAATCTAGTGTTTTAATAAAAAAAACTACAGGGAAGGTGGTTTAAAAATGATTGATGTATTTGCATATATAAAAAGTTTGAAATTAACATGGTTTAGAAGACTTCTCACTGGAAGTGGTAAAAAATGTTTCACATTTATAAGTAACATTTTTAATTATGACAAAGTTTTTAACTGTGGAAAGTGTTATGTAGAAATTGAATCTAAATCAATGTACAATTACTTTTGGAAAGATGTTTTGTTAGCGTTTATTGACTTTAAAAATATTGTGAAAATAACAGATATAGACCAGTTACAGTCCATTGTTTTACAATAATAATATTTTAATAGATAGGAAGCCTCTGTATGTTAAATCAAGGTATGAAAATGGAGTGTCAAAGATATTATGCAAAAAACTTGAAATTTTGTGAGTAAAAAAAAATTAGAAACAAAAATTGGTACAAATATATTTTTTTTTAGTTTATGAAGGTTTGAAAAGTGCTATTTGAAAGTACATAAAGTCTCTAAAAATAGAATATTCTAATAGCAACGTAATATTGCCATCTATTCCCTTTTTATATAAAACAAATATTTTTATGTAGAAGTGGAACCTCTACCATATATAACGTATTTATTGATAATTGTCAAATACCTACATTTATATCAAAATGGAATGCTTATTTTTACATTGATGATACTGAGTGGAAATACCTGTTTGAATGGGTTCACACTGAAACTAATGATAGTTACATTCAATGGCTTCAAACTAGAATCACCGATAGAATTCTAGGAACAAACTATTTATTGTCTAAAATGAAATTGACACAATCTGATAAATGCACTTTCTGCAAAGAAGAAAAAGAGACATTATCTCATTTATTCTGGAATTGTTCTGTTATAAAAACTTTTATCTCAGATGTGCAACAATTGTTAAAATGTCATAATGTTGATTGGACGGTTGATTGTAAGACATTTATTTTAGGGTATCAAAAAGGTGACCAATGTCAATTTAATATTTTTTGTCTAGAATTAAAAAGATATATATTCTTGTGCAAGAGGAGGGAGATAATATCATCTATACAAGGCCTCGTCTGCAGTTTAAACCTAGCATCTTCAATAGTTAGTTATACTAAAGTTAAAAATCTATGTACTCATCAGTTGATATGATAGCAAATAGACTTTTTTGAATTAACTACTTATATATTACAGTTTGTGTATTTTTGTGGAAATCAAATACTCTGAATCCCAAGAGAACTTTTATCTTCTGTGTATTGTATATATTATAAAATAATGTATGATATAAATGCCCTTATGTTTTTTGTAACATTATAATAAATTGTAAGGTAAAATATTGGATGGATCCCCGACGCTACTTTACCTATTATGGGGATAGTAAACGGAGTTACCTCTTGGGCTTCAAAAAAAAAGATATGTATAATGTACTCAGTGACGGTCTTGGCTATAACATTTTGGACCGAAAATGGTTATACCGAACTTTTGGCTTTTTTACATAAACTTTTCTGTGGCTTCTATATAGTATTATAACATAATATCAAAATTGGACCGATAAAGGCAACAAGTGATATTTCGACCTTACATATTAGATGCTTTCAGGCTTTCAGTCAGCTGGATCAGTGACGCTTGTGACGATTATCTCAAAATCTGGAGGATCGAGAATAACAGCCTGAGAGGATGAAAAAGACAGCTCGGGAAGACCTCGATCGAGGCCCAAGAATGTCGCACTCTCAAAGTAGGCATTACGTGGGAAAGAGAGGGCAAAGAAGACTTCTCAGAAGACCAAGACGAGGAGCAATCTTCAAGATCCACCAGATAAGGGAAACAGTTCATGGTCATATGGTTGAGCTTGATAGTTGGTAAGAATAAACTTGTCCGTCCGAAACGCATGTTTTTTGCACCAATCCGGAACATCTGACTGAGGCACCATTGCTTGTCCGTGAGTCTGTCCGTACACCTTGCATGTACGCTTTTAAAACATCTTTTATTTAGGCAGCAAAACAGCGCATGATTGCATTATATTGGTTTCATATGCCCCCCGTGTATTATCGTAATTAAAATATAAAAATGATTGCGTATTCTTTGGTATCATTATGTGAATTACTGAATTCAAATAAATTAGGTCACCATTAGCATAGAATAGAAGAGGACAGGTCGATAATTGATCAGACATTAAAAAGATTATGCACGAGTGTCATTTTCTATAAAACGGCATTATGTGTTTTTCCATAAAACTGTTTTAACCGCCTTCCATAAGCTATATATCGACTTGAAATTGAGACACTTGAGAAAAGTTGAGTTGAACTATTTAAATTGGACAAAATCATTCAGATTCAACGTTTATGATCAACTACACATTCACTTCCACGATATTGTGTAACCTTTTATGTGGTAGGCTGTTATCTTTAGTTCACAATGCATAACTCTAACATGATTTGTTATCGTTTAAGACAAATTATACAGTTCTACTGTAAAGTTCTACCAATCTATAATGAAATAAGTTTACATTTTCCTAATAACTCAAAGTCTTGCATTAAAGTGGTGTAACAGGACGGAAAAGGTTTACTACCATTAATAATTGTGTGACGTATATTGTTTCTTAATTAATTAATTATTTTTTATCCTTTGAAAGATATTATAATGTTTCACTTTATGATCCCTGTACCTGACGTTGATCGTTATTCCTTCATCAGCTAACGTGTATGCTCTGGTACTTTATTTAGTTTATTTTTAAAGAAATGTCATTTGTTTACCTACTTCACCCCGTTCACTCGCCAACAGTTTTCCATCTACTCCTCGTTTTATACAACCGTGCTAGACTTTGTACACAAGACAATGTCGTTTTTCACATTTTTTCCTAAAACAGTTCGAGTTGAAGGAGGCCCCCTCAAATACAAGTAGAAGGAAGCTTATTTGTATTAAATACAGATTTTGATATGACCCTATTTAGTGGTAAATGTCCACATCTTTTTTCAACAAATACACTAAAATCTATCGCCAATTTAACCAAATGTATTCAATTTGCAGAAAAAAGCAAATCTTGCAATAAAACCAGACATATTTAGCTTCACAAAACTGTTAAGTTGGAAATGGAAAAATTGATTACGTTATGAAGGAGAAAGAAGTTGAAACTGTATCTTGGGTGAACTAGACTTAAAAAGAAATTTCTTTGGTTTTCTGTGTGCTGTGGGGCTATTTCCGGTCAACGCTGTACAGCAGTGGGGTCAACGCTGTACAGCAGTGTATTGTGTCAGTTTAAAACAACTTCTATTTTATGATGATAAAAAAATAAAACTTAAGATATTCTTTTCACAAATGAGATAATAATGCTCAAGAAAATTGCAAAAGTCATAGAGTAAGAATAAAAGAAACAACACTTACCGCCAATTTCAGTCTTCAGGCAATCATCTATCCCACTGAAATTGTTTGAATCTGTATTCAGATCAATTGTCTTTAATACAGCCCTTAGGCAAATTAAGTGGCGGCCCTCCTTTAATTTTGTGAATGACTGCTTAAGGCACAGTGTGTATGCTTTTATATCTTTAGTTGTTCTTAGCGCAGTGCCATTCCTCTGAAGCAATTATAGCCTCACAGATCTTGTTCTTTACATTTTTAGGATGTTGAGTATGTACAGACTCAATCAAACCGAGTCTGCAATTGTTATGTAATTTTGTTGTGATTAATGCTTCCAAGGGATCACTTTGTTTCCAGATTGTTTTCACTCGGGCCTTAATTTTGCTATAATACTGATAAAAGTACGTATATTTCTTTATATATTTCTTTAATTTATCGTTAAATTGAACGAAGGTTTTGAAAACTATGGCCATTAAATTTATTTTCTTTGTTTATTCTGGCATCAAAAAAGGCTCATGCGAGGTTGTCTACATTTATGCCTTTATTACAAACTCTTACCATTTTATATGTAAGAAGGAAGAAAATTATCCTTATACATCTTTGACCAAGTAATTTTCTAAATATCTAGCTTTATTTGCTGTATTTCATAATATATGGTAAAATGAACGCAACGCACCTACAAATGAAGTAGGAGATTGCTGATTAGTTAAGACATTTTTTCTTTCACAAGCTCTAACGTAAAGGAAATGACCGCGAGTAGCCCGCGTGTTGTGACCGCTTTTTGAACTGGCGATTTGTTCTTTCTGTATATAAATTGTATACATTTTTGAGGAAAAGAGACACCATGTTTTTGGAGCCAAGTGCTAGAACACCATTTGTAATATATCGTTACCGATAGGCAATTAAATAAGTTTGGATATCTTCTGTACAGAAATATAAGACTCAACGCTCTTACCAACAGGCAATGGCATTAATAGTTCCATTACGTGGCATGGTAATTTTCTTTCGGCAGTGAAAGTTGATACTTTAAGATAATACAGACAAATCCTGAAGATTTTACTAAGAACTAAACTTTCACAATGACATAATATAATGGCCATTGTCCCTGAGAATGTTCCTGGAGTACATCATGTTTAAACTGGTAGGGGACTTTTGTATCGCTTGCTGCTTGTTCTAGTTAGGTGGTCCAAGTATTCCTCGCTTGAATACTGTATAATCGCCATTAGGAAATGTTGCCTGCTTTTTGTCTTTGGCCAAATTGGTCTTTTGATATATGCACGCTTCATAATCTGACGCTGTTTCAAATTTCATTTATATTCATCATAAACTGTCTGTTGGAGATTATCATTTACAGTGACAGATGAACCGCATTCCAAACACCCCTGTTCATAGTTATCTCATTCCAGTATTCAGCGAAGTTCGGCTCCATATCTAGCTTGAAATGGTCATTTAGACTTGCTGTAGAGTCTTCCATCTGTGGTTCTATTTGGTGTTTCCTTTCACCATATATACGTTTGTGACAACATATTTTGAAGCCAAAGCAGTTCTGCTTTAATTGCTACTGGGTCAGTGTTTAGTTATGTTTTTGAGATTTCTAAGCTTAGTCATTCAAAATTGATTTCCGCCGAACGGAATGGACAATAGTGGGTATTGCTCTCTGATTAAAATCGACTCCTAAAACACTCAACTACATGTAAGAAATAAATAGATCTGAACTTTAATCAGGTTTCATGGGTATTGTGCTTTTAAACTTATTCACGGTGGCATACCTAGAATGGTACACTTGAACTTCCGTCAATCTAGAACCTGCAAGCCAGTCTGGCCGCGCTTTCCCAATGCTATCAGACGCGGCATCATATCAAGCTGTCATGACGTTAAGCGCTTTAATCCCCGTCCGCGATTTGCTCTCCTATTTGTATCTTGTATCCTGCTTGGCTCTTTGCCGATGGTCTTATGATGCTGGATTGTGCTGGGCGTTGCGTTCACTCAATGCTACCCTTCCTTTTTGATCTTTGTTTTCATATTTTAGCCAAAGAGTTGTCCTTTTCAATATACAGACTGAATACGCATACATTTTCCTACGAGTATTGTGTTCGAGTTCGTCAGTCTCATTCTTATTCACCTTTATTTTTCTCAAAGGTCAAACGTTTAGCTCACCGTTTTACGTCTTAAATGCATGAGGAATTTAGAAAACATGATAATGATAAATAAATAAAAAATAAACAAACATAAGCAACAGTAACACAGTTCTGGCTACTTTTTTCGTTTAATGGATTTTATTGAACATATACTAGTACTTTAGTATTGTCTAAAATGTCACCACCACCGTGATCAGATATTGTCCCATCTTCGTCAGCTGCTGAAGCTGACCTCTTGTCATGCTTTCAGCATTGATTGTGATATGATGCCTTATAAAGATACAAGAATCTTGAAACAAAACACAGAAAGAGTTTAAGACGAAAAAAGGAACGTTCGATATTGTTTACATCAAATTTATTTGAAAGATCACTGGGATTGTAGGAAACAAATAATGATGGTTTTCGCTTAGATAATAAGATCACATTGAATTATGTCAACGATGATCGTCCCGTAATGGCAACCGCGGGCTTTTTTTCGGAATTTTTGTGTTATGTGACATTTTAACTCTTATAATGGAACCTAAAGGAATAAACGTTAGACTAAGTTACATCTTAAATAACGCTTGAAAATATACTTCAATATTCACAAATATAATTCATCAGTTTCGTACAGTCTCTGTCATCGAATAAATATTCGCCATTTTCTTTCGTTAACCTAGCACAATCTTTATTTTCATAATCATCCGGTTTGTCTTTGAACCAGAATACATTCTCAGTCATCGGCACCAGGGTGTTATCAGCAAACCTGTACTTCCCATTGACGGGTCTCCCGTCCGTCCAGTAATCATCACAACCCGAATATGCTAAAATAAAAAATCATAAATATGTTTATCTCCTCCTATGTCATTTATAACCATATCTTAAAAGCTATAAAATGTACCGGTTAATGTTAAGTGCCTTCTTAGTACCTGGTTGGTGTGGTTGTGTTATGTCGTGACAGCGTTCTATGAACGTTCCTTATTAGGTGGATTTATTTTTTTCATTATGCATGGACTGAAATTAATTTGATCAAATTGCAGTGAGATGGCCGCAAGTATGCTACACGTCTTATTTGAACAACATCTATCCAGCTAGTTTACGAAAAGACTGGCGGTTCTATTGATTTCGCTCGTGACTGGAATATTGTTCGATTAGCGCGTATGAGGTCTTCCTCTCCACCAGTAAACCTGGAATATTGCTATATGGCCTTTATAACGTCAATATTACTTAAAATCGAACAAAACAAATAAACAAACAAATAGTCAACCATGTTTAAAACTCACAAAAAGCAGTCGATCCTCGCTTCAACGTACCAAAATTCAAACACGTTATTAAAAGGGCCATTGACGTACCAATATTAGAAAGATTTTATATATTAGAAAGAAAATTAAATCGTTTATCATATAAAGAATTTACGTTTACCTGAACAAGCTGTCAGAATTTCATTTAAAAACTCCATTTTCCACCCTTTGTCAATTTTCACTAGTTTACCGCCCTTAGAGGAACATTTTGAAACCGCTTCATCTCGTGTAAAGGATGCGGTTAAGAAAATGTTTACAGCGAAACCATCTCTGTAGTAGCCGTCAGATGATGGACAGTCTGTAAGTGAGCATAAAATAATAATGTAACTAAAAATACTCTCCTAGACTGAAAGCTTCCTTAATGGACGTTTTGAACGTTTTTATAAAATTTGCTTTTATTTTAATCAAATTTGAATGCATTTTCATATGTTGTTTTTATTTAAATAACTATGAACAATTATCTTTTTATCCCCCGTCGAAGGCGTTGTCCGTCCGGACGTGCGTTCTGCTGTCCGTCTGACCGGCAAAAAATGACTGGAGCATAAAAGGACTATTTTAATTAAAAAAAGAATATTACTTCATATATTGACAGCACCTTGTATATTAATTATAAAATATCATATACTAGTACATGTACATGTATAGAGCTTGTGAACCAATAAAAATGGATATAAATAAGCAACTCAGATTCTGTGTTAACAATTTCAGTTTAACTTCTTATATCCAATTAAAACACTTGAAACTAAGGTTTTGTTTGAGTTATAACATACTTAGCTTGCATTCTGGGATATAGGACCACCTGCCCTCACTTTCACATGTGATTGTTTTCACACCTGATGCTTCCTGGAAACCTGTGTTACAAACTATTGCCCGCGACGCTCCAACGTTGTACCCAGTTCCGGTAAAATATCCATTCAATAGTGTAAAATTGCTGCAAACTGAAGTAAGAAAGGTGTCTTTGTTACTTTTTAAAATAGAAAATATAGCTAGCAATGTGGCAAAAAATGAAAGTGCCGCTTATAGCAAACCAGGTAGCAATATGAAGAGAACATAATGTTACAACAATATTCAAAAATGTAATGGTTTTATCAGAATTGATTCACTAGTACCGGGAATCGTGGGACATTTGTGGGGGGGGGGGTTCTTCAGTTTGATTTAAAATGGAAATTTATTAATCCGAAGAAATTAAATTATTATCACCATTTATAACATTGCATATGGGGTTATAACTCCAGTTGCCCGAAATTTCACAGGTTATCGTCGTAATGTTCGATCGTTCCTCATATCCCGTGTTACAAACTACTGTTCTTACAGCGCCGACGTCATTTCCGGTTCCAATTAAGTTTCCGTTCAACGTAGATATGTCGGTACAAACTGAAATATATACATAACCGTTGTGATTTCTAGATGTATAACACATGCTAATATGGTCAGAATTTGTTTGAATAGTCTTCTTTGCATGAGCCATATGTAAGTAACATTGGCGGGAAAATTACACTGGATCGAAGTAAAATTTAAATTGCAATAGCTACGAAACATATTATGTTGTAATACCACTTTGTTATTTTATTATTGGACTAGACATAAATTTAAAAATCCTTAAACAACATGCTTTTAAAGATCCTGTATGTTGTAATTAAGGTTGTTACCACACTTAAGTTATTTTTATATATGTATATAATTATGCTTCTAAAACAATTTTCAAACATCGAATAATGTGTAAAATATATGTACTGCAAACATTTGTCCACATTAAAAGCAATCATTAAAATATATGCATTCATTTCTTATTGAAATCTTTGACTAGACTTTATAGAAAATAAATTTTAAATTACCTCTCCTTATTAACATGATATGTAAATTCGTAATATCTTCATAAATAATGCTTTTTGGAACTTACAATATTGATAAATCTTCATTTGAGCATCATATTTATGATATAAAGACAATAAAATACTTAATAAACATGGGATTAACTGTCTAGACATAAATGACATAAAGAAATTTAAATATATGACATAAATAAACTTTGCATTAATGATTCACACATAAGAGTAACAATCTTGGCATAAAACGTGTATATATTATAACTCTGTATTATCGGCGGAGCTCTATTACAAACGTACTCACAATATTTTGTCATGTGCGGTAATGCATTCTCTTTGACCTCATTCAAAAAATATGTAATGATTAGTTGAAATTGTTCTGCTTCACACAAAATATTACTTATCATCTGTGGAATTCAATGCAGACATACAGGAAACGTTTAGTATATCGTCTCATACTACATTGAATAATTAGTGTTGTCAAAAACTAATGCAGTAAAGACTATAAAAGCTTAATTCAATTGTAGTGTTTGAGCAATTGAGAACATAATAGTGCCTATGATTGTTAAAAGATGAAATAAGCCAGTCTTGTCAAACCTACAGCATTCAAAAAATATACAGGTCTGGCATGAAAAACTATGCAGTAAAGACTATAAAAGCTTAATTCAATTGTAGTGTTTGAGCAATTGAGAACATAATAGTGCCTATGATTGTTAAAAGATTTCCACTTAAACAAATTCTTCCGTATGATTTTTTTTGTTTGTTTGTTGCTTTATTTTTGTTTTGTTGTTGCTGTTTTTTGTTGTTGTTGTTGTTGATGATGATGTTTGTTTTATTGGTTTTTACTCTTTGTTTTTGTTGTTGTAATTGTTTTGTTATGTTGTTGATGTTTTTGTTGTTTATTGTGTGTGTTCATTCAAAGAAAATACAACTGCAGCTCACCGGTTGTAGAAATACATGACGGGGTATGACTCCAGTCGCCAGACGTCCTACATTGAATCGAGGAAACGTTGCTTGCTTCTATAAACCCAAATCCACAGTAAACTACCAGTCGAGATCCTACATCATTTTCATTACCGAGAAATCCAACATTGTTAATTGAAAGCTGGTGGCATTCTGTAAGCGGAAGAAACAGTTTTCATTGTTTGCGTTCTTTAAAAATCTTATGAAAATGGTTAATCATTCACTATGCAAACCACAAAAATAATTTGGGGCATACGGTTTCCGTGTCGTTCATCAAGACATACAGGTAGTTTCATTTTGTCGGAGAAAATAAATTAATCAGAAAAATTCAATGTTTTACGCTATTGTTTCACAGGTTCAAAAGGTAGTGTTACTTTCCTTTTGGTAGTTGATGTGACTTTGGTTATTCAATTTAGAAAACACCAAGTACTTTTTCACATTATTTTGGCAGGTCTAAACATTGATTTCTAAGTTTAATCAGTTCCACTTTCGTTGATCATTTCACGAGGACTATATGGGTGAGATATTTATGTCGTATATAAAAGTATTGAAACCACATCCTACATTATCTATTACTCTGTCTATTCAATGGAAAATTATGTAACAAATTTTATTTTATATTGAAGTCTAATTATTTGTCTTAATACAATTTTATCAGGATCCTTTACGATTCTGACAGCTTATTAACCTGTAAATATTTCTGAAACCTTTAAGACTTTCTAAAATAAAACAAAGCTCGTATAAAATATGCTCGTGATTGGTAAAAGGTTATAATGACACTTCTTCAATATTTTCATATTGACGTCAATGTTTGCCACTACGTCGTTGGTACTTTAAACGCATTTAACGCCATTATTTTCATTTTTGAATAAGCATGTATAAAATGATAACATGTTGTTGCTGTCCATTGACATGTGATATGATTGATAGAAGACAGTTTGTATTTAAATCAAAACACTGATATTAACATGAAATATTAATCAATTTTATTAATCAATGTGTAAATATGAGTGAGGTCATCTGTAAACTAGACTTCTAGTAAATTTTACTGGCTTTATGCCGTACAGGTAATCTGTGTGTTATGTCAGGGGCAAGTTACACAGACGGTCGGTCCCAAATCGGTCATTTAATTTTAATTTACTCGCTGTTTTGATCGGTTGTCATGCGTGATTTTTTTTCTGGTTTTCTGTGTAAACGGCCATCGGTAAGAGAAAGCAAACTCAAACGGGGTTGGGTCGATGATTAAAATGCTGAAATACTATCGGTTTTCATCGTTTGTAAATCGGAGCTAAATCGGGCGCAACGCTGATTAATCGGTGTTTGATAGCTTGTCATCAGTGGTTAAACACTTTCCGTCAGATATGGCCGGTGATTAATATTTGGTTATCTTTGTCCAATCGGCGATATCGGTGATTAAGAGCTTGCATATAGGTTGCTGTCGGTTATTTGTAAAACATTTTCACCGATTGAGAATTTTAAACATGTTAAAAATCCCAATCGGTAATTTATCACCGATGAAACTTATCTTTTCCCAATAGCAGTTGATAGGTGGAAAACAGGTGACCAATAGGTGATATCGGTGTTAAATACGTTGTCATCGGTTCACTACATAATTTGGCTAAAAAAACTACCGATCAATCACCGATGGCTCTGTGTAACTGTGGTGTCATCGCTTTAGCATTTAGAACGCTCAATTATTGTACCCAGAATCTTTCTTAAATGTACTTCTTGTTTTAATAACCGTTTTTAAAAAAATGTTTAAGATAATTTGAGTTATTTGCCCTTACCTTTATTTGAGCACGTGCCGGCATCGCAAACTTGATCCTCGTTACATGTACAGTCATTAGGTACCTTAATAAGATTATAAACGGGGAAATTAATGAAATTTATGTGAAACATATAAAAGAAAATATACATATTTGTCAATCTTTAAAGGACATATTATTTTATAATTCTCTGTTTGTTTGTTTAATTAATTGAATGAAATTTATTATTGTCGTCTCAGTTATCATATTCAAAATTAAACCTAAACCTGTGTTTTTGTCCCTAACCATCATAGATTCGAGTTCTGAGCAAGACACTTGCATTCTAACGCAATGACAATTTAATTGACCATAATCTATCTGATGTAATTCGTCATGTCGCTGTTTAAAAGTGAAAATCTGGCAGTTATATTTGATAGAAAAAAAAAAGTTATTTCTGGAACAGAATCCAGAAACAAGACATGTTTTATACAGTTTATAATTTATATTATTCTAAAAAAACTAACTGATCTTACAAGCGTATTATCAATATCTTGTTTCCCAATAACGATGCCTGCTCGATTTTGTATCCGAGAAAATGTATCCGAACTTGGGTACAGTTGGCACATATTTGTATACCTATTGTACCCAACGTATTCACAGCCTTGTCGTTTCCCACATTCAGGAATACAGTCGTGTAATGAAATTCCAACAATTGTTTTTAATGGTAATTTATCTGGCAAGAAATAATTCCAATTTGTAAATGATATTGCACAAATCACGCTTATTTGATTTGAGATCAATACAAGGAAAATAATATTTATTATATCAAAACTATGCATGACGTCCTCTTAGATATTATAGTGGTATCTAATATCCTGATTTGTTTAAATTTTTTTGTCAACTTGTTTCTGTCTCTATTTTCGATTTTCCTGGACGAGTCAATAACACTGTAGAGTAAATTATTCGTTGTTAAAGTAATCGGGAAGGGGGTGCACTTAAAATCAGTTAAAGTTGAAAGTTGAAAATAATGCAGTCCTGTTGACTTTTCCTGAATGACATTAAGAGCTTTCTGTTATATTTACTTTACTACACTGTTCAAATAATATTTTCCTACGACTAACACAAACATTTAAAGAAAAATGTGACAAGGTGTATTACAAACCTTCCGGTATATTGTACAAGCTATTTACAAGCTATTGTTCCATTTGCTTGCCACTTTAACCCAAAGCTATAGTGGCTGATGTGAACCATGTCGATAACCAGAAAGTTGTTTGATATGTAAAACGAAATCTCCGTTGCTATAAATTTATATTTTTATTATGTGCTTTCACTTGTATAACCGAAACGATGAAAATGCAACAATGCGAAAATGCGAATATACAATGCAAAAAAAGAAAGAAAATTCGACAGTGCTAAAAAGCGAAACTACGAAGAGACAGCAAAGTTTGCCGTGCTTTGCATTGTCGCGTTTCTGTCGATGCAATGCAAGACCACGACGCTTTTCATTTTTGTGTTGTTTTGTCGCCATTCTATTGTTGCCATTTTGCGATTTTCATCGAGAAGGCAAAACATACTGAGTCAGTCATTTTCGTTCTTTCGTGTTTTCGCTTTTCTAAATTTTACGCGAATAAGCACAAGAACGGCATGGCGTAACTGAGCAACTACAATAAATCTTTTTAGCAAATATATATCTATTGTATATGGTTGAAATACCTTGAGGTAATATGAGGTAATAAGTAGCAGAAATTTCAGGTCATGTCCCGCAGACGCTAGAAATCTTTATTTCATATGACGATGGATAAATAACTGTGGATGAAGTTGTTTGTTGTTGTTTGTTTGTTTTTTTGTTTGTTTTTTGGGGGTAGAGGGTTATTTATTTATTTATTTATTTATTTATATTTATTCGTTTATTTATTAAGATATTCTTAAATTAATGATTGGCAAAATTTTTGCAATTGTTTGATCGTTTAAAGAGTTACCTGTACTTGATATCCATATATTTCCAACTAATCTCAACTAACTTTTAATATCGTAACTAAAATTTCAAAGACATGCCATCTTTAATAACTTATATCTCTACAGTATTAACATGTATGAAGTCACAGTTTGGACTAATACATGATAAAATGATTAAGTAAATGGAGCATGAAGGTTGAAATAATTTACTAAAACTAGAAAAAAGGAGTGTGACTTATTTTGCAAATGATTCATCGCGTCATATAATTGTTGTCATAGTAAATCTATATTCTAAGTAAATTTTAAGTAAAGCTTAAATAGAGTCAGGATTTCGTTCTAGAATTATCATTAAGATGATTAAAGACTTTAGAATTTTGCCAAGAAAGATGTAAACATCCGGACTGATCCTCACAGGTCATTTCCACCGACTCCCGTAATACATCAACATTTTTCTTTATAGACAAAGTATAACTGTTGTCGACGTATTGAACTGTTGTCTGGTTTTTCGAATACATTATATAATATCAACGGATAAAGAAATAAACGGGGAATAAACGGGTGAATGTGATCCATTAGCAGGGTAATATTAGATCATGACAACATGTATTAATGTATCTTGGTTTGACACAGTCTATGTATTAATCCTACATATTCGTTGAAAGTACCATATTTACTAAATGATGTCTTAATGTGTTACCTTCGTTAAATAAAGTTATTATTATTATTATTATTATTATTATTATTATTCAAAACAATAATAATGAGAGCTTTTGTGTGTTACCGCATTTGAATTCATTCAAATAAGTTGAAAAATAAACACGAAAAGTACACACACTATGTTGTAAAATATCGAAGGTTATTTAGCCTAGAAATCAACTAGAAAATGGACATTTTAGCGTGTAGGTTATAATATCGAATGCAAATATTGGCAAAAGATTACAACTTAAAAATAAACGTACTTTTTAGTTTTATTTCAAATCAACTTTAACAGAGTAACCTGCCACTGTTTACCGGATATGAATAAATGTTATGACGTCATGTGATTTTTTCCTTTACAAGAGCTTTTATTCTGTTTGCCGAGTAAAGTACATTGCACTCTGTGTCCTTCCGAGATTTGAAATAAAAAAATTAAAACTTGAATCGGACAATGTTATAATAATAGCATTGAAAGCTCTTTCAATGGCTATTTTGACATTATCACCTAAAAATAACAAGACTTTTAGCACAATTGATTGGACAAAGAGGAAAAGCCACATTCACTCTTACGGTTACATAATAATTAATTTGACACATTAAATATTTGTAACTTAACATATTTGAAATTTCAAACATATTTTAACTAGTGGTCTTCTAAATAGAAATAACAACTTTAAAAGTAAATAGCATGCATATTTATCCATTTTTTGTAATTGCTTTGTTTTTCGACAGCACAACATAAGATATAAAAAAAGAAAAGAGCAAAACTATATATGAGCCGCGCCATGACAAAACCAACATAGTGCGTTTGCGACCAGCATGGATCCAGACCAGCCTGCGCATCCGTGCATTCTGATCAGGATCCATGCTGTTCACCTACAAACCCTATTACAAGTAGAGAAACTGATAGCGAACAGCATGGATCCTGATCAGACTGCACGGATGCGCAGACTGGTGTGGATCCATGCTGGTCGCAAACGCACTATGTTGGTTTTGGTTTTTGGTACATTTTGTAATCCTAATAAAAGTGGATATATGTACTGACATGTTTGATGAGTATTACTTTATACTTGTGTAAGACAATGTTCATTGCGTTTAACACATTCGTTGAAAATATTTCCCTTTATACTTCATCATTTCAGAATTATAACACTTTGAATAGTAACAACAATAAATGAATAAATATGCTTGTTCTTTATCAGCAAAATTTAAAAACGAGAACATTTTAAAAGGTCAATTGGAGATATTCAGAAGGAAACGGCCTTGAAACTTAAAACGATGAATTATGTCAAATGTTTATCATACTGTGTTAGTACCAAATATGTACTTTTAAAATTAATACATTTTTAAAAGTACAATTCAACTTAAAAAAGAGACACTATAAATTTATTGGTGATAACGTTTCTGGATGATTCCTATTGATGGACTTAAAATAACCTTGCACATTATGATTTCCGTGGGAAAGTGTCCTTTTCCGGTTCACCTTAGATACAAACGCACTTTTAAATACCATGTTCATGTGCATTTATAGATTTTAACAAAAAACTGGACAGAGTAAAAGTTCTTGTCCATGTAAAATGCGTTTAAACTGCTAATTTATGTGTGTTTTGTATAAAAAAAGAAGAATTCTCTATAAGATTTTTCTACTGTATTTTATATATACTAGTATATAAAATAATGGTCATGTAGAAATCTTCGTTTACATATCAATTATTGTGTATAGTTCCAAGTTCCAGAACTATCACAATGTATGTTTGTTTCATCGGTAAACTTTTTTGTATATTCGAGAAACACACATAAAATGATATTTTTTATTTTTAAATGTGAATTTTTAGGTGCAAATTAAACTTTGATGATTAAGCATGCCTTACATATTATATTATGTGTAAAAAAAAAACACTTTATAATCCATTCGTCTCTTGTTCAAAATCTGGTAGTTTTGAGTAAAATTTCAAAATTACTTGCTCATTCGTACATATTTATCTTTTCATTTGTGATTTTCTTCGTTGACATATACATAATTACCTAATTATAATAGAATGTTGCAAACGTAAAGTTCAGGCTTATAAATATATAATATTTTTCAAATGTTAAGGAGTTCTTGTGATAACTCTGAAGATGTCCTATAGTTCTTATAACTTTTGTTACTGCCAGTGTGTTTCTTGTGGAACGTTTTAGCGTATTTTAACTACGGAATGCCGTTAGGGCCATCGCATATGAATGTGTTGATCTGAAACGCGATAGTCGATAATACGATGGTGAAAACGCGAAATCACGAAACTACGATGGTGAAAACGCGAAAGTACGATGATGAAAACGCGATAGTACGATGATGAAAACGCGACAGTACGATACTACGATGATGAAAACGCGATAAACTATCGTGTTTTCACCATCGTACTGTCGCGTTTTCACCATCGTAGTTTCGTGATTTCGCGTTTTCATCATCGTACTGTCGAGTATCGCGTTTCAGGTCAAACCATTCATAGGCAATGGCCCTAACGGCATTCTGGAATGCCGTTAGGGCCATCGCCTATGAATGTGTTAATCTGAAACGCGATAGTCGATAGTACGATGGTGAAAACACGAAATCACGAAACTACGATGGTGAAAACACGATAGTACGATGATGAAAACGCGATAGTACGATGATGAAAACGCGATAGTACGATGATGAAAACACGACAGTACGATGGTGAAAACGCGATAGTACGATGATGAAAACACGACAGTACGATGATGAAAACGCGAAATCACGAAACTACGATGGTGAAAACGCGACAGTACGATGGTGAAAACACGATAGTTTATCGCGTTTTCATCATCGTAGTATCGTACTGTCGCGTTTTCATCATCGTTCTTTCGCGTTTTCATCATCGTACTTTCGCGTTTTCACCATCGTAGTTTCGTGATTTCGCGTTTTCACCATCGTACTATCGACTATCGCGTTTCAGATCAACACATTAATAGGCAATGGCCCTAACGGCATTCCGTATTTATCAGCAATAAATGTGTAGATCATTATGAAGCTTATCATTTGCACAAAAATATGGTTAAACACTGTTGGTTTTGAGTGTATTTCAGTTCAAGAGATATTTTTTTTTTTTAATTTGATAAAATTTTTTGGTTACGCAGATTTTGTAGACTGAAAAAAGGCTAAATGAAGTCATGAACATTTCATTAATATATAACTTTGTTTATGTCAATGTATCAGTTTCAAAGGTTTAAATAAGTCGTGGCCTCAAAATAATAAGTTGTGGCCACAAGGTTTTAAGTCGCGACCTCAAGATTATAAGTTGTGGTCACAAGATTAATATCTTGAGGCTACAAAATAGTATATTTAGGCCTCAAGATAAGAAGTTGTGGTCACAAGTTAATATATTGATGCCTCAAGATAATAAGTTGTGACCATAAGATAATAAGTCGTGGCCACAAGTTAATATCTTGAGGCTACAAGATAAAATATCTAGGTCTCAAGATAAAAGTTGTGGTCACAAGTTAATATATTAAGGCCTCAAGATAATAAGTTATGACCACCAAATAATAAGTCGTGGCCACAACATAATAGGTCGTGACCTCAAGA